GGGTGGAGAGGTCGAGACTGAGGCAGAAAGGCAGCTGCAGAAGGCCTGGAGTGAAGGACGACAGCTGGCACAGAAGGTCAGTGGACTTCCCTCCCTTCCTCCGTCCCTCCCTCTCCCTCTTAAAAAACAGCCACAACACCCTGCCATTTTCTTTTCAGGAAGTACCACACCCATCTCCTGCAGTTTGATGGAGAAGGGGGTTGGCGTTTTGAAAAATTGGACCCCGCGGCCCGCCTGTCCCTGCGGGAGGAGAAGCAACGCCTGGAGCAGCAACTGGCTGGGGTGCCCGAAATGCAGCACCGCCTCAGCGAACTCTGTCAAATCCTGGGCGAAGACACCGCCTCTGAGGCAGTGGGACAGGTCTGAGATGGATGGGGGGAGCACCCTGAGGCACCCCCATCCCCTTCCTCAGCCAGGAGCTCTCAGAGGGATTCCCGGCTGCCGTGCTCTCGTCTCAGAGAGCCAGCGATCCTCCCTGCGAATGAAGGAGTTGTCCGCTTTTTGTCCCAGCCGGGGGACTGCTTACTGGTGGCACCCATTCCCTGTGCACTTTAATAGCCACCTCTGACACTCCCTTGCCTCGTGGTAGGCCTCGAGGGAGGGAAGGAGGGAAGGGGTCGCCCCATACTGCCAAGTGTTTTGATGTCTGCCCGTCCCTGTGGGAGATTACCTCCCGAACCCACAGTGCCTGATTACCCCAAGAGATCATCACTCGAAAACTCCTCACAGGTGTGAATTGTGCTGCACTTCCACTGCCAGTCTCTGTTGTCCTCTGTGGTTGCTGATGTCTTGGGGTGAGCCATCTCAGCCACCTCATGAGCCTGGGGGCTTCAGCTGCAACACTCGGTCTCCTTTCTTCACAAAACCAGCCGCACAAATATTTTCTATGAACCAAAGCCATGAATGTAGCTCTTGTAACTCTTTCCTTTCCGTCCCTTCCTTGTCTCCATGGTTGAGCTGCTGCACTCGTTTGGGCAGTGCCAGGCCCAGAACCTCCGGTCCCAAGAGTGCCATTCGAGGGAAATGTGCCTCCTTGGGGAGGAAGTGGGGGAGGCTCTTTGGCAGGCTAGTAGATTTTGGCTGAGTCCTGTAAAAACCTTGGTGTTCCTCAGAAACTTAAGGAGGAGGAGATGGGTGACGCAAGACCAGCTGGCCAGGAGACAACGTGTCTCCATTGATCAGTCATCCCACAGATCTGTTTCACTTTCAACTCCCTCATTCTTGGGTGCCATAATCCAGATCTTCTAGCACTCCATGCAAACTGGGAGGGTGTACTTTGTTGAAACCGAGACTTCTTTGCCCTCCGCAGGGATCCCACAGCTGACCCCCCACGGCTTCCGCAGCCAGTAAGCTCAGTTACTCACCCCCTCCCCCATGGCTTCCGCAGCCAGTAAGCTCAGTTACTCCAAGGTAGGAAGATCTGAAAACCACAGTGCTGGGTGACTGGGACACCCTTGCACAGCCAAAGTGCTGTTTAAAATAGGAAGGCCCTCTGGAGGACTTCTGGGACTTGACTAACTCTTCACTGGTGAGGTGGGTGGAGGTACAGTAAGGTTGAGGAGCTTGTATCTTCAGGGAAGTCAGCATCTCTTGCCAAACCGGTGATGTTGACAGGGTGGTCAAAAAAGGAAGGCCCTCAAGAGACTGCAGTGGGATGGCCTGTGGCATCTTCTTACTCTTCCATGTGGAACGGGTGATGTCAGCACACCCAATTTCAAGGCTTGTTTTAAATTGGAATACAGTATCCCCTGCATAAAGCCAGTTGTAGGAGTGCATTTTTCTGTCCAAATGAGGGTCACCCAGTTGGTCGATTCAGCTTTACAGCTTGCCTCCACGTTAAGAGGAAGGCAGCAACTTGGCTCTCCGTTACGCCCCTGGGTCTCTTTGCCTCTTGCCACTGTGATTGGGAGAGTTCCTAATGGGACGGAGAGGAACGGATGGATGGTTGCTCTCTCTGACCATGTAGGGAAAGGGTTGGCCCTGCTGTCCTTCTTAATGAGACAGAGAGGAACGGATGGATGGTTGCTCTCTCTTCAGCTGTTAATGCCTGCAGATGCTTCCGTTTAATATATGCATCTATAATCTGAGCCCAGTTGAAAGTGGCTGCCGCCACCTCGGCTGTTTGAAGACTCCCTGCCACTTTTCCTTAGTGAAGTAACAAACCAGCGAGCTCCTCAGAATATGTGCTCGTTTGCACTGGAAATGAGCATTTGCTTATCACATTTTTTTTAAAGTCCCAAGCAGACAGCTGGTGTGGTTGAGATCAGAATCTGACTCACCCCCCTGCCCAAGACTCTGTTTCTGCCTCTGCCTGTTTCCTTCCTCTCCCATTCCCTCTCCTTCCCACTGTGGCTACTTCTTCTGAACACCCTTCGTTCTGGTGCCAGCCCTCACTTTAGGAGAAACAGGAACAAGCAAACTGCGGTCCCTTTTCTCTTCTCTAGGGAAACGCCCAGTAGTTCCTCACCTCGCAATGCTTGGACCATCTGGCAGGAGCGGCCTCGGCAGCAGAGACCTCTGCAATGGTGCCCGCTTTGTTCTCCCAGTTTGTGGACATCTCATGTAGCACCACCCCAGGGCCCTGGGGGAGCTTTACATGGCAGGTGCAATCGTAGCCACCGAAAAGATGCAGGTCACTAGCCAGAGGGCCTACCAATAGTGTCTTTGCCAAGGGCCCCTTCAAACCAGGTACTGTCTGCATCACCCAGTTTGGCCTGCTAGACGCTGGGCAGTCCCTCTGATTTTGCTGTCCAAATCAGGCAAGACAAACCTAGAGGTGCTTTTCTGTCCCCGCTCCTTGTCCACAGCTGCTGGGATGCTTTGCAGCCCTGTGCATCGGTTTCCAAAATTCAGATGTTCAAGGGTTACATGACTCCTAGAAGTCCAGAGACTGGGCGGTGCAGGCAAGGGCTTCTGGGTATTGCAGCCCAAGAACATCCTGAGGTCCCATGTTTGGGAAGCCCCAGAAGGGGGTTAACAGTTTGTGAAGGCATGATCTGGCATCTTCCTGCCCTGAGTCCCACCCACCCACCTTACAGCTGGCTCCTTAGTGCTTTCCCACTGGTGTGGCATCTGGTACCCTATTTTCTCCCTCCAAGTGACCCATCTCTGTTTTGGAAAAAGCTGTGCCCCCCCCCCAGATTGCATGTTCCTTCTGGAGGACAGTGTCGGTCCCCAAAAGAAATCAGACACACAGAATGTACGTCTTAGCGTCTCCGAAGTGATGCCTGCAATGCTTTGTTGCCTGTTCCTGTCCTGTTGTTGTTTCCTGTTGTCCAAAGTATATATATTGAAAGTGTTTCTGTTTTCGGAGATGGGGCAGGCTTGGATAGTCAAGGGTTCAGTCCCTTGGCCCAGTTATGAAGAGGACCCCAACCCATGCCCTCCACAGGAACCTTAAACCCATTGACACACAGTAGGTGTTGGCACACTTTAGGGCCCTGGGCTATGCTGGAGCTGCCAAATCTATCCAAAATTCCCAGAACTTTAATCCTGTGAGTGGTTAACACTGTTGTGGTTTTTTTGTTTTTGTTTTTTTGTATAAAATCTGTCCAGGCCAGCCTTGTTCGCTTCTCTTCCCTCTGCTTGTGCATCTGCTCCAACATCTTTCTCTGTCGCTTGAGGTGATTGCTGATCCCCATACTTGTGATACCCCTGTGTGTATATGCATGCGTGCACACATACACACACACACACACACACACACACACACACACATTTGAACATAAGAAGTGCCATAAGGATGAAAATGCTAGCCTGAACTGGGTACCTCCAGGTTGTACAGTGGTGAATTTGCTTTACATTCACTCAGTGGACAATCGGTGGCCATTAGGAGAAATGCAGGGGCCACATCTCCAACCAGTTGTGGCTTTGGGATGGAGTTATTCCAGTCCCACTTGCACCACTTTACTCCAACGTTGCTGAGTGCCACATGTGGATTAGATGCCAAAGAATGAGGTGCTGGTATACTGATTAAGTAGAAGTGACCATTTTGTTTCAGAATGTAAGGAGATGTTGAGATTTTAAACACTGTTCCTCTAAGATTTTTTTTAAGCAGAGGAAGGACTTCCCTGCAGTTTTGAGAAGTAAGGGTATAGTACAGCGAAGAGCAATCTTGAACAAAAGCTTTTCTCCCCGATATGCTAGTTTTCTTCTTGCAGGTAGTTTGTGTATGTGTGACATGCATTCAAAAACATGTCTCCCTCCCTCCAGTAGCTTCTCCTATCTTCTCACATTCTGCTGCACAGGCAAAGCCCCATTAAGGTTAACTGCTGAAGCCAAAAATATTAAGTCAAGCAATTAAGGGGGAATTGCAAACTTACACCATTGTTTTATTAGAATAAAATCTTTGCATCACCATTCTCTAAGAGGTCTGATACTTTATCTACATACATGTGAGCAGAGGAGGTTTTTGTAATAAGTTCAAGCTGTGGATAGAGAGGGTTTGACTCCCCACCTCCACTTTATTGTAGAAGTTGCTAATTTATTTAATTGCAGTATGTCTGTCTCTGTCTGGGCATTCTATGACATATTTTTAAAAATATGTTGTTGAATCCATTTGAGCCATCTTTCCAGCCTGGTATCCACTGTATGCCCTTTTTTGGGCTAAAAACACAACAGGCAAATAGTGCAGTTTTATTGCATTATGGATGGGGGCGGGGAGGGCAGGAGAAAAAGAAAGAAAGAAAGAAAGAAAGAAAAAGAAAGAAAGAAAGAAAGAAAAGCCAAAGAGTGTTCAGGGAAGTGGAATGTGTGTCAAACTGGAGAGGCTCATAGTGGAACAAGGCAAACCCCAACAGCCACCTCTGATGTCAGAATTTTATAAACTATGCAAGAAAGACTTTCTCTGTTGTTTTGTACATGCAGAACTGCCACCCTCGCCACCCTGTGTCTCCTGTCCTCACAGTGCCTTCGACACTGGCAAAAGTCAGGTATATTCAGATGATGATAATAAAATATTCTAGATCACAAAGCGCTGTCTGTTTGATTCCGAATTCAGTGCTCGGTATGTAGCTGCTGCCCGCTCTCTGACAAGCCTAGGCGCCGTCGGAAATGAGAAAAGAAGTTTGTTAGCTCCAGACAGGGGTCTTAAGATAATATTGCTCAGATCTTAAACACTAAGAGAATATAGTAGGAGCGCCCTGTCTGTGGGATCTATATTTGCTGATTCACTTATCCACTGGCTGAAAATACTAAATAAAAAGCCCAGGAAGACCTATTTATGCAATATGTAGCATCGGATACTTCAGCATTTACCAGCATCTGTGGCAGGTTGGGACCTTGAAACTGATCCCCCATGGATGCCATGCCCCTACTGTACTTCTGCACCTCCAGACATAGGTTCCAGCATTCATCAATTCCCTTGTCTCTCACAGTCCAGCTTTCCCCAACTTAGGCCACTCCAGCTGTTTTGGCCTACAGCTTCCATCGGCCCCCCATTAGCAGGGCCAGGGTCAAGAAATTTGGGAATTATATGTCAGAAGAGATGGAGGGAGGCAAGCTGAAGAAGGCTCCTGCAGCTTTATTACTCAATCCATTCAGCCATGAGGGATTATATCCCCTTTTCCTCAGTTTCCAGAATTGGTGTGGGCATGAGGAGGGGTGTTCTCACTGTTCAGTGTGCGCCTTCCCACATTTCCAGGAGAAAACCTTAGGGCAGGTGATCCTCGTCTTTCCCCTCGACGCGCAGTGAGCAGCACATGTAGGAGAGCTACTGCTCTTCTTTCCACCTGCGTGTGATACGTTTCTGTAGGCTTGGGCATTTTCCCACCAAGGAAACCTCTGGCATTGGCAGCCATGAGATCTGTTAATAGCTTCAGGAAGTAAAAAAGACTCAGCGAGAGGCTCCTGGGTAGGCGAGAGTCCAGGTGAAAGCTCAGCCTCAGGGACCTTTTGATCTGTGCAAAAGGATGATGCCTTTTCTAAAGGGCAGAAGCCCTCCAACAAGGCCCTGTTATACTTGTGAGAAGAGAGGTGAAAAGGAGGAGCAACGGAAAATGCAAACCCTGACTAGGAAGGAAATAGCCGCTCTTTATACTCCTGCCAGAAATTTATTTAGTAAAAATATGATGGCGGAGCTGAAGAGGATATGATTAGAAGGGGCCTAGTGTGGTATAGTGGATAGAGTGACAGACTCAGGAGACCTGGGTCGAAATTCCTGCTAGGTCATGGAAAGTCGGGGGGTGCGTGGAACGAATAAAACCACCCCTTAAAGATGCTGCTAAAGCCTTATTTGGGTCACCACGGCTGCAACTAAAAACTAGGTGGGATCTGGCATGGCTCTCATTGCTTCACATGACATGAGCCCCCACTGCACTTTCAGCGATACACACTATTTTAAAGTG